ACAGGTGAATGAAAAGGCAACACATAAAAGATTAAGTGAAGCTTCTTTTCAACTAACAAGAATTAAAAGAGCAGGTTAACTACTGCCAGTATATGACAGGAAGGTGTGATCTGACTTTGTCTGTTACTATTTGACTGTTTTGGACTTTTCTTTCATCCTAACCCAGGAAGATAACCCCCAAATTCAAGTATCTGGGGAAATGAAGTTCCACATTTTGTTTTAGAATATAGTGTTTCCAAGCTGATGAGTTTAAAGGACCAGCAATTTAGTGGTGAGTAGCAATTAAATTTACAGACTTTATCTACATGTCAGGGTTTCCAGGATCACCTTTATGGAGCAGCCTTGCCATTCTGATACCCCTTGGCTTCCAAACTCTGAACTGGTTACCCTCTCAGGCTTCCCCTACCCTGAAAATGGCTGGTTTCCTAAGCTGCAGAACAGCAACTTGGGATGTCTGAAGCAATTCCCTCATGAAGATTGCATTGTATTCACAAGCTCTGGAAGTTTGGTGCTCCCAAATTCCATAGCCTTGGTGGTTAAGTTGCTACGTGACTCAGCTAATACAAAGATGCAAAAGAAATATGGCAGGCAAGTCTGTGCTTCACCAGAACATTAATGAAAAGCAATAGTTTGTTAAAAAAAAAAATCTAGGGAAAAAAAAAAATCACTAATGCTAGGAGAATAATAGGATTAGAATTTGTCAGCCTACATATATTTCTCCAGCCTGTTTCTCAAACTTAATTTCCTAGTAAGTTTGTTTTTTCTTCTGTTACACAGGCATTTATACTTGATATATCACAAGACAATATATGGGCATTTGAAAAATTAAAAGCAAACCTCTGGTTTTCTGCGCTGCATTCCATAACAGAGGACTGTAATGACAAATGAAAATAGAGAAAAAATGTTTTGTCAGGACTGATACTAGATAATGACATTTATCAGAAATAAGCTGGAAAAAAGTTTTTCAAACAGTAACAACAATTAGTAATCTTACCTCACTTACTGCTTGCAAGGTTTTGTTGAACTCTGAAATTCTTTAAAATAAAAAGATACCATTAGGGAGGATTTCTAGTTACATTTCTAAAGACAATTACAATAATATAATGAAAAGAACGAATGATTACTGAGAAAAACAACCCCATTTTTTCCAGCTGATCAGTGACTTTTTAAAATCATGCCAGTTTTAATATTATAAAACCACTTTTCAAAGGATTAAACATTTAAGAAGTGGTATTTTATTAGTCACTCCACAAACGAAGTTTAAACCTTTGTCAGCATATATTTTAAAATCAATCCACTTACGTAAAAGCAAAAGAGAAATCTTAATGTTGCCTCTGGCAAGCAAGCATTTAGAACAGAATTCTAAATTTATACTCAAAGCCACAGAAACAGAAATAGAGATTTCTTCTACAAACAAGACCTGTTGGCCAAATACATCTTTTGGATTTTCGGGATAAGTTTTGGGAATAGCAGTAAATATTCACTCATTCAAACCTGTCCTTATAAAGACTGTGAAAAAAGAAACTACACCAAAATAAAAGTATAGCTATGACTCCAAGAACACGTATTAAAAAACATGCAGCTATGAAAGTTCTTTTAGTAATTTCTTATGAGAAGGATTGCATTCCTGAAATTATAAAAACCATTTATTCATTAAAAGCAGCAGCCAGACTGGCATTCTTAACGATCCGCAGCTCATATCCTCAGGTATTATGATGATGATTATTATTACTGTTATTAAGATCATCAGCATATAAATAACAAGGCCCTTGGGCCTTGTTGAGCCCCAAGGAAACTGAAGGACCTAAAAGTAAATCAGCAAGTGTACCATTTCTTAAAACAAACTCCAGAGGTACATAAAACAAAGCTAGGGCTATTCTCACCAATATGAACTTGAAGTTAAAGAACAACAGCTTACCACTCCTGAAACTATGAAGTGGAGGGAAAATGCAAAGTGAAGAATCTGCTAACCACATGGAAGGTCTCACTTCATCTTTTTCAAATATAACAAAGATTTCAATCCTTATTCAAAATTACTTACCTCAGTTCTTGTAGGGTAGGTGCTGGAATTGCAATTAATTTTGTAACTTGATTGCTGATGGTTATGTTATTAATCTGTTAGAAACAAAGATTCCACGGCTAAGAAAAACCAGTAATTTATAGCCTTAAAAGAAACATGTTCATTTCATACATTTTAACAGTCCAAAATTCCAAAGATAAGCATCACATTTTCTCATGAATACACTTCAATAAATATTTACCATGACATGTTGTCACAACTTATGGAAGGAATTGGCTCATCTAGTATAGACCAAATATCTGATTTGTATCTGATTTGTGAAAGATATGGGCAAGAGGATAGTGACCTCACCATATATCATGGTGAAAAAATAGGAATTTGGCTTAGTTTGCAACAAAGACAGCTTAGACCAGACACTGAACAAACTTTCTAACTGTAAGTGCAGCAATGGGACAAGCGCCATAATAGACCAAAGTAACAGACAACATAGAATTGTGGGAGTAGGTTGTCAAGAACTGAGGTGAAAGACATGATAAGAAAGATCTAAATAGATATTATCTAGCCTTAGGGCCAGGGGATACACTAAGGTTTATCTAAAGGCCCATTATTGATCTGCATTCTTCTGTTCTGGTTTCCACCATTACCAGTTACTTTTGCATTTCATGCAAGCAGCGAGCACCGTGATGAAAACATCATGTAACATATATGGTATTGACATTACATGAGAAATATTCTGCTAAAAAGTAAAAGAGGCATAACGTTAATACACTAGACCATTTAAGTAGGCACGATCACTGCTGAAACACAACACAACGGAGAGCTGGCTTTTGCCAGGGGCCTACCCCTGCCCAAACTCAATGCGCACCTGTGCAGTAGCTCTCTGCAGTGATTTTGCTGACTACTCTCATGCTTGCAGAGATTGGCATGTGAAATCTCAGACTGGGCACAGACAGGGATGTGTAGGAGAAAGATACAGAGGAAAGGTTCTTTATAATGTCCTAATGTCCTTTTTATTTTATTCTCTTCAGTTTTGCATCTGTAACGACTGAACATTCTCATTTTCATACCTAATAATCTATATGTTCCTTGCTGTGCATGATATAATTCTCTTAAACCTCTGTTGTGTTGTATAAGTGGACACACTCATGTCACATAGGCCTACTGCAAAATTAATAACTGATTAACCACATGCCAAAAAGCATAGAACGATATCCTATTTATGAGAGTCTCAACATGAATTATTCCCAGAATGCAATCCAATTTAATTTATGCCCAAACTGCTGCCATCTAACCACGCTCACTTTCTAAAGTGCCTAAATTAATCTCCAAAGGAAGATCCTGTATAAGTAAATGCAGATTCTTAATTAGGGAGTTTCTCTCTCCAGACTTCCCAGGACTTCCCCCTCCTTTCAGTGGCTATATAGAGAATACAGTCCCTTACTGTATGAAGTTTACTTAGCTGGAATTCTAAAATTTAAGAGAGAGAGTAGATCCATCCACTGCAAATATTAACATGTACTGCAAACTCTATTTGAAATAAAATTAAACTATAAAAAACATCATAAGAATTATGTCAGTGTATCAGTATTTCAAGTGTAGGCAAAGAAACTCATTTCAACCTTCCTTACAATAAAGTTCTAAAAGAGAGAACACTTACTATTTCTACATTTAGCGAGGTGTTACTTTCTTCACTTGCCTGAAGCTTTACCTTGCCCACATAGAACACTAAAATCAAAAGGTAAAAATGTTAAGAACATCAACACTAAACCATGACGTAAGATTATCTGAGAATTTAAAAATTCACTTCTTGTTTTACAATAGAAAGGAATAAGAACACTTACACTAGCTTTTCTGATCATTCACTGTTTTTGTAATTGTTCTTCTGACTCTTCACTTACTGTTTTCACAAATGTTTCCGCTAGTCCAATATCTTCTTTATTTTCTGTATATTTATTTTTGCTGGTTGTCTCTTCCTTCTATTTCTTTTCTTTTTTTTTTTTTTTGTTTCCCCAAAATAGAAAAACTGCACTGCACATTACTATTAATACAACTCCAGCTCCCGCAATGAGAATAAAATGTGTAGGTAAATGCAAAGTGATACTCTGAAAATTCTTCCCTTGGGGATTAAAGAACTTTCAGGATACCATAATTCAGAGCATCACTCAACAGTTCTTGAGAGTTGGTAGGCCCATTTTGGAGACAAAAAGGAACTTCTATGACACTTCTCTATAGCCACACATTCAGTGCAGGCTATAGAGAAAGATCCATACAGGAATGCATACATGACATCACCAAATCATGTAGTAGTTTACTCTGTCAACTAGTAGGGAAACTGTATGGGGGTAGGCAGGGGGCACAGATACTTACTCTTACTTACTATACTACTTACTATAAAGTACTCAGCATATGGCTACTTGGCAGAAGCTACTTCATTTTCCCAAGTATTTCTCACAGAAGCCATTTATCAAAGTGTTTTGGAAGGCAACAACATGTATCAACAAAATCTTATTTTACTACATTTTTGTTAACACACATGAAGGGAATGTCACTGCCCTTTCCATTTTCCTTTGCTTGTCTGTTCTGTCACATTACGCTTTGAAAATACATGCAGGCTTTTACAATAATAAACACTATTTCAACTTCTATTCCTGATACAGAGTTAGGCTTAATACGACAGACATTTCACATCTGCCACAGCATACTAGTTTCTTGTTTTCTCAGGTTTGTAATTCTTATCTGCAACTGTGTAGCCTTTGATAAGAAACCAAAGATAAAAAGTACAATAGACTAAACATTACTTTGAACCCACCCCCCATTTTATATTATTTTTTTAGAACTTATAAAAATCTCTCTAAATTTGCAAGAAAATTAATTACAAAGCTAGTTTTTACATAGCAACTAAAAGTTGGACATGGCTTTTATAATAAAAAAAGAAAACCACTAACCTGAAAAATTACAGACAGGTGTTACGTTGCATAAAATGGTTTCTCCTACTGTAGGTTTTTTTGGGGAGGAAAAAAAAAAAATCTAGTGAGTAAAAAAGTTTAATTTAAACTCAGTACTGACAAATATACATATTTACAATCATTTCAATGTCTTAAATGTAAAGGTCTTTACTTTTTAGAAATATTTCACATAATGTCCAGGCTTCACTTCTTTAGGGCACTTACCAATGACATTTTCCAAGAATTAGTATTTAGAGTGAGACATGCTGGGTTTGATTAATTAATTTTGAATAGTTTTCTGTAACAGTTCCCACAAAAGACCTACATGGAAGTGGTCTCTATTTTTTAAAAAAATCCAAATAAAACAGAAATCAAGATCTCATAAATAAGCTCTTCAAATATCACAGTACTCAATCACTGATAGCATATTATCTGCTTCTGAGGATCCTACTACAGTTACTTATGATAGTATGTAACTAAAACTGTTGTACCTAATAGAATTCAAACTATGATTATAACAAACATGCAGACCCTCATCTAGCAGAACATGTCTTTAGTTAGTTACAGCAAGCTTTTGGCTGCTCCCATAGTTTTAATACTACCCACACCACAAAGAAGTAACACTGATCCCAAATTAAGGGAAGGGTACTGTAAAGAGATGGCTCTTGTACAAAATCAAAATAAAGGACCAGAAAGATATTTGCATTCAAGACAGATCTCCTACAGTTGTTCATAAAAACAATGTGGCAGCACAACTTTCCTTATCTTACTTAAGCAGGTTCCTCAATTACGCTGAGGAACAGCAAAATGGTTCAAAATAAACACCATATTTTGGTATAAGACTAAAGATCAGCCTTCATTAATGGAAAAACAAATGCTATTCTCTCTGTTGTTATCATTAGCTGGTACCAAATGAGATGTGATTTATTTATTTTTTTTTTACTTTCTCTGTACAAACATTTGCTTGTTAGAGGTTGATGCTTCATCCATTTTATCACCATCAAACAGCTATCAGAGGGTACAGATTGTGAGCTGGTGACAATATTAAAATTATCAGGAAAAAAATATTTTTTCAGGCAGCAATTTAGATTCAAATAAATATGCCTTCCCTTTTGTGTTGGCAGCTTTCAGTGAAATATTAAGAGCATTGTATCAGCACTTAAAAAAAAATCCTTAAAGAAATAAAATGTCCATAAATAACTGAATTTGTCAGAATTATTAACTACATAAAGAACAACAACTCTTATAAAAATCCAAGACAAAACCTAAGAGTGACACAAAAGTAAAGAATAACATCAGCCTCTTTTTCTTTACAAAGCACCTAGTCTTGCTTAGCATCTATGTGTGCCACCAAAATGCACAAAATAGATAAGGAGTGTGGAGGAGAAAAGACTGATAAAAAAATCACTAGTGCTTCCAGCCCCCATATCATCAGATAGCGTAGCTGTAAACTTCCTGCAGGTCACATTCACACAGTCAAATTAGAATGGCCAGCACGGCTCCAAGTCAGCTCTTCTACAACTTGCACTAATTCAGTGCAAATACATTCTAATTGGTCTACCAGGCTCCTACACAGATATTAAAAAAATTAAATTCAGCCTACTCCTATAGACTGGACCTGCCACGAGAACATCATGACTGGATTCAGTCTGCTTCAATCTACTAAAAAGCATGAGGATTTTTTTTTTTTAAAGTAAACATGGTCTCTGAGATTGTGTTTCTTCCATCTTTGTGATAACTTGCTGCTCTGACTTACAAAATAACCAAACTCTTCTATATGTGGCCATATAGGTAAGCATTGCAGAATTAGACCTTCTACCAGACTAGAGATTGATGTAAAGTAAGACAGACTGCTAATATGACACACTATAATATCAAGAAAAAAACTCCTATTAAAAATATTTGGAAGCAGACTTTGTGAACTCACACTCACTTAAACTTTGAGAAGCATACAAGAAGATCAGTGGTGAAATGTGAATCCTACCTGGTGTTATGGTGGAGTAATAATCAGTGATGTTAAGAACTTCTGTTTAAAAAAAAAAAATAAAAAAATTAAGTTTTCACATTTTAACTTCAAAAGCCTATGAAATATACGTCACAAAAATAATTTCTACTTTAGACTCTATCTTCCCAATAGAATTGTAAGCACATCACCATTTATAAGGGAACTACATTATTTTCAGCGCTGGAAATGAAAAAACAGCATTTGGTGTGAGATCCATCCAACCAAATGTGTATGTTCCCATGTGAGCCAGTTACTCTAGGCTCTCTATTACTCAGTGGATAAAGTTTTTAAGGTGTGATTCTCATTTAACCTGTTCTACATGGGCACTTCAGCGTAAGATGAATCATATTCTAAAAATTTGTCTTTCCATCAACTATGAAGAACAGAATCAGAATAATTTAGGTTGGAAAAGACCTTTAGGATCATCAAGTCCAACTGTAAACCTAACACTGCCAAGTCCACCACTAAACCACGTCCCTAAGCATCACATCGACATCTACACATCTTTTAAATACCATCAGGGATGGTGACTCCATCACTACCCTGGGCAGCCCGTTCCAGTGCTTGAGAAGCAAGATGCAGGATGTCTAGCTCATATGCAAACATGTAGGTATCCATATTGATATGGGATGAATCTACTCCTTGTTTTCAAATGCAAACATCAGGAAAAAAAGGGGTAGCAAGTTCTGATTGAGTCTTTACTGATCCTATTTGGCAACTCATTGCAAGAACATATATCATATGACTTAAAGGAATGGCATATACATTTTAGTTCTTCAAAATACTTTAAATAATATCAGAAAGAATAGAAAACATTCAATCTATAGATACACCAAAAAAATCCATACTTGCTAAAAATAAATATGCCCAGTTTGGGCCTTGGTAAGCAATGTAATATTTTGAATAAAAAAGAAAGTTTAACAGCTCAGTGTCAGTTTAATGCACTTCAAAACCCTAACCTTGCAGATGTAAAATACAGATTGGAGATAAATGCAGATTTTAAGATCATGTAAGAAAATAATTTGGACGACATGAATCCCAGTTATTTAAAACAAACAAACAAACAAACCAAACTTCTATGAATATAGCAAACATCTCCCTTTAGACCTTACTCTCTTCATGCTAATTCTCACCTGCAGTTTGTGTAGTCTCCTCTGAAGTTGTATCTGAAGAAGAAAAATAACAATAAAAACAATAAAAATAAAATAAAAATCTAAAAAATTCTAAATCTAACAATCTAAATAAGAGAAACATTAATAAAATCTTGCCTGAAGGATTAATAGGATAGGTGATAAATGTAACAATAGAAGATTCTGGAAAAAAAAAAGAAGATAAAAGATGTAGAAACTGTATTAATATTTTATTTCTACGAATTTTGGAGAAAAAAGATCAAGCATGCAAAACTTTGAACAGGAACTGAATTTTCATTATGTAAGTTCCATTTTAAGAACAACTGCAGTGGTTGTTAGGAATGTTCATATTATTTCAATATAAATTTTGAAATAATGTGAACATTCTTTCAAAAACCTGAGTATCTGAATCCATAATCAAGTGCTTCCAGATAAGCTCTTTTTATTGGTTTCATTCTTTTAGAAGATGCAGATGAATTTGACATATCCAACAGCAATAACTGCTTAGCCACGAGGACCTCTGCCTGCATCAACTTACAACACACATGACGAGAGATGACACACTGGGTTTGGCAAACTGTCTCTCCCAAAAAGCTATTTTTGCCAGTAACTGTACATAAATAAAATGGAGTGAGGGTGCAAGGTTTGTTTTTTTTTTCAGCTACTCAGTCAAAAGAAAAAAAAAGAGAAAATTACATTAATACGATAGAAGAAAATGTAAAGATTGCTGAAGAAGGATGTGCTTAGTAAGCATATTTTAGGTGTCAGTGCAGGAATACAAAGTGGTTAGAGGACCACTTTATATCGCTTCAATATGACAACTTAGTGCCTTTTTTAAAATGGGCCAGAGCATCTTCACAACAGAAGAACATTATGCCTTCGAAACTTCTTTACTAAAAGCGTCACTGTCATTATTAGAAGCAATATCTTAAGTACAATAAAGAAAAGTTGGTGGTTCTGCATAAAGATAGTTGCGTGTCAAGAAAAAAAAGCAATCTACGTCATTACATGGAAATTGAACTTTTCTTTCTGATATATTTATTTCCACTAGACTAGCCATTTTGAGCCTTTTCAAAAGTGCCCTCTTTCCAAAAGTGAGTAATTCCATACTCAGAGCAAAAGCCAAGCATCTCTGGTTCTGAAGACAACTGATTTTCTAAGGCAACTAACAAGGAGCCAAAATATGAGGAATCAGAGTGAAAACTAAGTGCTGACTTCATCTGTATTATTTGGCTTGGTATAAACTACAACAACTATTGAATTGGCTGCAGTTGTTAAAGATGAACCATTCCCAGAGAAATATTTTATCCGTAAAAGAACAAAAGCATGTGTGTTTTTGTCTGTATTACTTTTCTCCAGAGCACAATATGTCAGTATACATTAATCAAGAAAGCAACTGGCTTTCACACAGCTATTTCTATGTGTCTACATTCTTCATTTTTAAAAAAGGCTTTCATAGATGATGTTCATCACCTCTGGTCCCGTAAGTTATTAAGAGTCTTGTGTGTGTGTATGTGCGTGTTTGTAGTATACCACACTGCACCAAAGAACATACGCACATCTGTGAGGGTGGGAGGAGATGTAAAGGAGCTCTCTCACTACAGTACTCCTCCTCTGACATCTCTGCAAACTGCTCACTGTTTAGGGTACTGGACAAAAGTCTCTTGATCAAGCAATTTGCACCTACTTCATCCCCAAGCATCACTGTCACAAACCATATATGTGATCCTATAAAGTGAGATATTTCATTACAATGTCGAATGAAGAAATTAATTTACTTTTAAAAAATAAACAATTAAAATATTAAATGTTGAAACTCATTTAACATTACAACTTTCTGCTTTACCTCAAATAAAAGCAGAAGATTTATCTAACAGGAAATAACAACATTGCAGTAAAAAAAAAAAGATTTTCTTACCAGAAATAGTTGTTGCAGCTGATTCTCCTGAATTTTCAGCTTTTGTTTCAGACAGAAAAAAAAAAAGAGGAGAAAAAAAGGACCATAATGAAGTTTCAGACACATATGAAACCATCCTAAGCAGCCTTTCCTTGTATTATCAAAAGTTTACTGCATTCACCAGAAGAGGGCAACACCTGCTTATCAGAAGCACACTTCCAGGTTGTCAAAAAAAGATCTAACAAACTCTGATTAAAAAAAATTTCAATTTTTATGAATTCAAATAGAATTCAGTTGAAGAAGATTTCAAATAATACTGGACAGTTGGCACTGTATAATATTAAGTAAACAAAAATCACTGACCCAAGATGTGCGCTATGCTAACCTGAAAGCCGCATGCCTACCATGAGTGTCTTAATCTTAAGTGTACACAACAGGACGGCTGTAGTTGGGCATGAAGAACCCCTCTCCGACTTTGTATAGTAACACTTAGATTTTCCATTTAAAATTTATCTCACACATACCTGTTCTCTTTTCTAGCCTGCAAAAAGCAGCATTACAAAAAGCTATTTCATTTCAAGTTTGAGCCTCTGATCTTGATAGGAGCCAGCCAACTATTTATATAGCACTGGTCGCTAAATCTTTGATCTTGCTACAGTCAGTATTTTGATGAAAAAGAAATCAAGAAATTTGATATCTGGTTCACACAGCAACTTCAAAGTTAGCCCTTTCATTCAGTGAGCAGCTTTTGACAGTGCTAGGGAGAAGCCAAGTCACTGTTACCACAGGAATATAATCTAAAGAACAGTTGGCTGCAAATACGAAACTCTTTAAAAAATATATTTGAAGTATTTCAACATCTCTCAAAACTCAAAAGTCATCCTATAATGCTATTTACAATACATTAATTATACCATTTCCTACTGTTGTAGAAGAGCTAAGTCAGAGTTACCAAAAGTCTCTGTGGAAAACCACATTTCTTTGGTTAAACACAGTAAAAAAGGAGTTTCCAAAATGCTTATCACTCACACGATTCCTTGCTCAGACTATTTTGCTTGCCTTACTGAAAACTAGTAATAGCTTGTTTTCAAAGAATAAACGTAAATATAATTTCTGTAATGCAAGGAGAATCAGAGTAATCTCAGTGACCTTATTTTCATTTTCTCTGGAAAATTACTGATGTTGTTTGCACCATGAAATATGCTAATAATAAATAAGGATGATTTCCTTTGAAAATATTTACATATTCTTAACTGTCTTCATGAATTAAAAAGTAACGGCAGCAGCAATCTTCCTACACACTTTCTAAAATACAAGAACAATGGTAACAAATTACACAGAACCCTCATATACCTGTTATCTGTGTTCTGGCAGGCAACGTAGCAGTAGTTTCAACTACAAAGGAAGAAGATTTTTTAGAAGCAGAAGTTTTTATATATAATTTTACACATGCATATACACACACATTTTTTAAAACACAACCATTTTAGAAGTGCTACTCACCTTAACCAAGCTGCTTTGCAAAACTGCTTTGCAGCCATTGAGAAACGTGTGTCAAGTCTTTTTGAAAGCTGGAAGTTGAATTCTTAATTTTTACTCAGTTTATCACTTTTATACTTATAGAAGACAGAGATTAGGCTCTGAGCTTTCCCTCTGCCCTTCCATTGCCAATGTCTTCAGAAACCCTTTCAACGTATTTGCTTGAGTAAAGATGAAGTAGATGAATAGCAGCAATCAGAAATGTAACAGGTAGACACAACTGTGCTTTCAGACAGCTATTTTTGTGAAATGTGGAAAAGAAACGCTGATGAATTATTGTAGAAGTGAATTTTTATTAATACAAAGACAAGCAGAGAAATTAAATAAAAAAAGCTGGGGCAGGAGAGTTGGGTAAGACAGGGATGCTTTATTCCTTACGTATGTACAAATAACACGATATGTACTCTAAGAATACATCTACATCATGATGTATATACATCATGTAGACACTCACATGCCCAAGAGTTGCACCACCAAAGAACATCTAAACAATGAGCAGACAGATCAGACTGCCAGAGATGA